GGTTTGAGAAGGTAATTAAGTATGATTTTTCATGATTGTTGTATTTGGATGCACAAGTGGGAAATAAACTTTCCTGGTGATATTATGATATTTAAGGAGGATGACTTGCACGAGGTTTTATCCCGATGAAGTGCAATTATACGACTCCTGGTTTACCTATGTTGAGCCAATTATGGCCAGGTCAAGTACATGTGCAAGTAATGAATTATGATTAAGCAAGATGAGATATGAATCATGTATAAGGATACCAAATATGAGTGTTGTGGTCTCACGGTCAACTACATAGTAATTAGGGCTCCCTATGCTATTACTCTATTATGATATGTATGATAGTCACACCCCTCATGTGGTGGTGACTGAAGATTTCTTGCGAGATATGACCACACCCAGAGCGGTGTCGGGGTATGACTACACCCATAGTGGTGTGGGGTATGTATGACCACATCCGACGGGATGTTGGGGTATGTATGACTACATCCGACGGGATGTGGGGTATGTTTCCCGGGAGAGTTAATAGCATGGGAGTAGCCAGGCGCCTATAAGTAAAACATGATAAGATGCATATGCATAAGTCAATGTGGTTGAGTCTTTTGCCTATTGGGATGTCGGATGCCTGAGGTCTGATCCTATTGCTTTGGCTTGTTTGCTAGATGTATGGTAGGGGTATGCTCTGTTATGAACTCACGATGCTATGATTATCTCACTCAGCTATGAGCTGACCCTCTTTTATTATTCTTCTCTACTTATGCTATGTGTAAGTAGATCATCAGCAGCAGCAGTAGATAGGTGTTAGGTGGGAGAGGAGCTAGAGTTGAAGGCAAGATGAGGTATGGTCTTCAACTATTCTGTGCTTGGACGACTACTTGAGATTTTGGCCAGTGATCCACACCTTTTTGTAAAAATGTTTTGAGAACGTTTTTCATGTGCATACTATCTTCTGATGTAGTGTGAGATATCCACAGGTGTGGAAAGTTGATGATATGTGTATATTTATGTGGTTGTGTAAGTTATGACAACTATGATATATATTAGTAAGGTATGCAGTTGTGGAGTATGAAACTGTGCCTATGGCCAAGAAAGCCAATGTATATGGTTGTGAGTATATATGTTTGTTTATGGATGCTGGGATTCAGATGAATTATTTTGCAGGTTTTAGTTACAAGAACTGTTATCCCATTACGCGAGTAATTCATGTCGAAATTTTATTTGGGTAAATTTTGATAATTAATGTAACACCCAAGATTAATTCCGCTGCAATTGTATGAACAATATGATTAGGCAATACGTACAGGGTAGGGTGTTACAAAAATCACGTCTGTTACTTTCAAAATCCATTATGTTTTTATCTACGACTTCAACCAGTTGGCTAACACGTCTATCAATCCGAGAACTAAGACCATCAAGACGTCCATCCAAAGAGGCTAAGTGAAGTTTTACCTGTTGGTTATCAGCCATGACTTGGCGAAGCATGCGTGTTATCTCACCCTGGTTGGCAGTCTGCGCCACTGCTGGCACTTCCCCTCCGGCGTCGTTGCTCGAACCGCCGTGTGAACCGCCACTCTGGTCAGTCTCTACATTGACCATTGGCTCTTCCTCCACTGAAGTTGGTGGAAGATCACCCTCGTGATTCTTCCTCCGCGGAGCCATTCGAACACACGTGTCCCACCAGGTGTGCCAATTTGTTTCGTTGGCGAAACTTCACGTGTTCGATGCGCACTGTTTTCAATTAAAACACAAACACGAAATCAGCAAAATCGTCAAATATCCGCCGCCGAAGTCGGCGTCGTTGATTTGATCGATTAAAGCAGAAACCAAGACGATCGTCAAATGGCCGCCGCCGGTGTCGGCGTCGTTGATTTGATCGATACACCTTTGACTTCTAATCAAACAACTGTTATTCGGTTCAACACCTCTCCAAACTACGTTCGAACGAGGGTGTTCGACGAATAAACAGAGAATCGAACCAGGAGTGTTCTAAGTTACGTTACCTCTACTCCTATGGAGGTTCCTCTGGAGAGCTCCGCTACTACGACTACAAGCTACGACTACGACTCTGCAAAGGAGGTCTTTGACAGAGCGGTTCTACGAACTAGAGAGAGAAAAGATAAAATCTGCGACGGTGCAGTTTGTGATTTGATTTTGCCGTCTTGAGCTTCTCTCTCTTCTCGATCTTTATACCCCGATCTTCTCCCCGTAGTCGTAGTAACCGCCTTCGCGCCTTTGTCTCCCACGTTCTTCATTCCTGTCAACCGCAGATAACTCCCTCCTTGTTGCGTAACTCCCACAAGTACGAAACCGCTTGGACACGCGGGAACTTGGCCAAAACGACACTGAGCCAAAATCGACAATCCTCCACCACGGTTCGATCCTCCAAACACCTTGTCCACATGATAAACAAACGACATCGAGTCCACCACATCGTCAAAACTGACCTCTCGCCACGACGTTGTTTTTGGCTAACCAGCGCCGTTTCCTATTCCTGCGGTGTCGTTCCACGGAACAATGTTGTTTTTACACTGTTTATGTGAAATTTCTCATGACATTGTTCTATATTAAACACTGTCGTTTTCTATTTTTGCAATGTTGTTGAACTTTGCGATGCCGGTTTAAATTTAACGATGTCGTTTTAACTACAGCGGCATCGTTTGGCCCACTCGCGGCATCGTTTTTAAATCCGCGATGTCGTTTCTTCCTCTTGCGGCATCGTTTTCAACTAAACGACATCGTGCTAAAAAGTCATTAAAAATATTAGTTAATTAATCCGGTCATCACTAGTCAAACTCGTGTGTTGACCAACGACATCATTAGCGCCAAAACGGCTCTGTTTGCCTTTCCCTTCCCGACATTGTTTTTTATTTAAACACTGTCGTTTGCTAATTCGCGGTACCGTTGGGCTTACTCACGGTACCGTTTTGAATTAAACGACACCGCTGATATAGCCAAAAAATATTAATCCATGGAGCCGCCGCCAGTCGGCGCTCGCATTGGGCTTGGTGAATTTTGGTCACTTACCCGATATGATTTTTAATTAATCGGTACCGCTTACCAGGCTCTCGCGGCATCGTTTTTAAATCCGCGGTACCGTTTTAACTCTCCGCGATACCGCTTATCTCCATGCGGTACCGATTTTCCCCTTCCAACAAGGAATAAAAATATTAATTAATTATAAACAAAAACTCCTTCCCCGACACCTACACTAAAACGCGCGGCTCCTTTTCTTTTCCGGCAATGTCGTTTTCTGTGTCGCGGTACCGCTGAGCTTCCTTGCGGTACCGTTTTTCTGTTTCGCGGTACCGTTTTAACTCTCCGCGATACCGCTTATCTCCATGCGGTACTGATTTTCCCCTTCCAACAAGGAATAAAAATATTAATTAATTATAATAATAATAATCAAAACTCCTTTTCCAACACCAATACCAAACGCGCGGCCCACATCTTACCTCCTGGTAAACGGTGTCGTTTTAAGTTTCGCGGTTCCGCTGAGCCTCCTTGCGGTACCGTTTTAACTCTCCGCGGTGCCGCTTGTCTCCATGCGGTACCGCTTCTCCCCTTCCCACAAGGAATAATAATAATAATAATAATAATAATAATAATAATAATAATAAAACTCCTTTTCCAACACCGATACCAAAAGCGCGGCCCACATCTTGTTTTCCGATAAACGGTGTCGTTTCTAGTATCGCGGTACCGCTTAGCCTCCTTGCGGTACCGTTTTAACTCTCCGCGGTGCCGCTCGACTCCAAACGACACCGTTTTTTTTTTACCCGCGGTATCGAATTAAATACCGAGACTAATTAATGCGGCATTTAATTCAGGCCAAATTAATTTTAGGTGTCAACACCAACAAAAGTTAGGACTAGCATCAGTGTTACCAAGAGTCCAAGACAGACAGGGTAAGTCTTCAACACATTACACATAATTGTTGCTTTATCTTTTAGTAACTCAAGTATTCTATCTAAACTGTCCAAATCACCACGGTAACTCTCCACCAAATATTTTTTTTTTAGAAAGTTAGAATAACCCATGGTAGTAGACATGATGTCATACAAAAGGTAATGATTCAAATTCGGGCTTCTCACATCGAATATATATATGTGTGACAAAACGAGACTCATGAATCATGACCCTTCCTAACTAAAAAATCAGCGACATGATTACTTTCTTTATACATATGGGAGATAACAACATCCATCTCATAGCTCAAAAGTCGACCAATTTGATTTGCAATAAGCCGATGTTGGTGTTGTTTTCATTCCAATTCTTGATTGCGGTTTCCTAACTAAAAAATCAGCTACATAATTACTTTGCACTTTGCAGGTTTCTTTTCAATTCTTAATAATTTTTAGTAGGCATTGATGACACTTTTTAAACCAAAGGAGACCCATTCACCATTAACAAAACCTAAGCCATACGTGATGATTGCCCGTTTAACAGGACTTTTAAAGTAGTAATTCGATGATTTCGACAAATTGGTCAAGATAATTTGGACGAGAAACTTGGATGAATGTGTATTCCCATAAAAAAAAAAACTTGAATGTACATGGAAAAAATGACTGTCATCCGTCAATCTAAACTTATGTGATCAATTCGTTAGCAATCAAAATACAATGATCAATTTGTTAGTTACCCTAAGAACAGTGACCGTTTATCTAATTGAACGGACCTACCCAAGACAGTAATTCGCATCAAATGATCTCCAGTGGAGTAAAACACTAATATAATTTTGTTCCTAGATTTGTTTGTAATTGGGACAGTTGCCTTAGATCACAAGCAGAAGAAGAAAAAAATAATTAAAAGCCAGAAAACGATATATATTTGCCCCTATCACTATCATCAAGTTTCAGAGGGAAATCCACTTCCTAAATATACCTTCCATTGGTTTGCTTAATCATTCACCACAATCCTTGACATATAAATTTCCACACATCACTGTTCCATCTCCCAACAACCCAACATTTCTTGTTCTCTTGATCAACGAAGAGAACAAGAAAGCACCAAAAATGTTGGGTAAGAACATGAACATGGCGGTTGCCTATCTCATCACCTTCACCACTCTGTTCTGCTTCACCATGGCAGCTCCAGTAGAGAATGCCTTGAAGACTTACCTAGTCTTCGTCGAGAAGCCTCAAGGCCTGGATTCATTGGAATCGGAAAATCTAGACAGCTACTACCAGCAATTCCTGCCGGTGACTACAGAGTTGACCTCCGACGAGCCGCGGATGGTCCATTCCTACCGCCATGTCATCACAGGTTTCGCCGCCAAGCTCACATCCGCAGAGGTCCAGGCGATGGAACAGAAGGAAGGGTTCCTCTCCGCGCGACCGGAGAGGATCCTGTCGCTCCAGACTACTTACACCCCCAAATTCCTGGGGCTGCAGCAGAATACAGGGTTTTGGAACTCTTCGAACTACGGCAAAGGAGTGATTGTTGGAGTGTTGGACACTGGCGTGACGCCTAATCACCCTTCGTTTAACGACAAGGGTATGCCTCCCCCGCCGGCCAAATGGAAAGGTAAATGCGAGCTCAAGGAGGCCTGTAACAACAAGGTAATTGGCGCCAGGAACCTCGTCGCCAGCGGGGAATCCCCTGCTGACGACGAAGGCCATGGCACCCACACCGCGAGCACCGCTGCAGGAAGCGCGGTGCAGGGTGCCAATGCATTGGGGCAAGGATGGGGGACAGCTTCTGGTATGGCGCCGATGGCGCATTTGGCCATCTACAAAGTGTGTGGCGAACAGGGCTGTCCTGATAGCGCCATATTGGGGGCAATCGATGCAGCCGTTGGAGATGGCGTCGATGTGCTCTCGCTCTCTCTCGGTGGCGATTCAGCTCCTTTCTACGAGGATGGAATCGCCATCGGTGCATTCGGAGCGATCAAGAAGGGAGTGCTTGTTAGCTGTGCAGCAGGGAACAATGGCCCGACTACCGGGTCGTTGTCGAACGAGGCGCCTTGGATTCTAACCGTGGGAGCTAGCACGGTCGATCGTCAAATGGGATCGACCGTGCTGCTAGGGAACAAGAAGGAAATGGATGGTCAGACCTTGTTTCAGCCCAAGGATTACCCGTCGAAAATGTTGCCGCTTGTCTATGCAGGATCCTCTGCTAACTCCTCTGGAGTTTACTGCGCGCCAGGGTCACTGAACAAGCTCGACGTCAAGGGCAAAATGGTGGTCTGCGAGATGGGAGGCGAAATCAAGAGGCTGGACAAAGGAATTGAAGTGAAGAGCAATGGTGGAGCTGCAATGATCTTGATCAACAATGTCGCTAATGGCTTCACAACTCTGGCCGATGCTCATGAGCTTCCGGCCTCCCATGTAAGTTATGAGGCAGGATTGGCCATCAAGGCTTACATGAACTCCACATCATCTCCAACCGCCAGCATCATGTTCAAAGGGACCGTAATTGGGAAACAGGATGCACCCCAAGTGGCATCCTTCTCGTCCAGAGGTCCGAGCCAGGCTAGCCCGGGGATCATGAAGCCCGATGTGATCGGACCGGGAGTTAGCACTCTGGCAGCCTGGCCGGTTCCTCTGGAGAACATCAACAACGCTTCCGGACCTATATTCAACATGATCTCGGGCACATCGATGGCTTGTCCTCATCTGAGCGGCATCGTGGCTCTTGTTAGAAGCGCTCATCCAGATTGGTCGCCAGCTGCCATCAAATCTGCCATCATGACCACGACCCATCTAACTCAAATCAGTGGCAAGCCGATCACTGACGAGCAGGGGCTTATTGCTGACATGTTCGATATGGGTTCGGGCCATGTGAATCCAGCCGGGGCGAGTAACCCTGGGTTGATTTACGACATTCAGCCCGATGACTATGTTCCATACCTGTGTGGGTTGGGTTACACCAATGCACAAGTTTCTACCATCGTGCAGAAGAAGGTGGAATGCTCGTCGAACCAGTCGATATCAGAAACTCAATTGAACTACCCGTCATTCGTTCTGCAGTTGGGTTCTCAGCCTCTAACATTCACGAGGACAGTGACAAATGTCGGGAAGGCAAACTCGGTGTACAAAGTTGAGGTGTATGCGCCCAACGGTGTGGAAGTGAAAGTCGAGCCAAAGGAGATAGTTTTCAATACGTTGAACGATAAAGCAAACTACTCGGTCACGTTCTCGGTGAAGAACGGGACGAGCCAGAGGTTCGTGCAAGGGAGCTTGTTCTGGGTAGCCGATGGCTACAGTGTGAAGAGTCCATTTGGTATCATTGTGGACTAACTAATTCATGCCTTGCCCCATTTACTATTCTTTGTACCTGCTTTATTTTTTGTTGCGTTTTAAGTGATACACAATCACTAATTATACGATTTTCCTTTCGACTTGGTGGTTGATTTGACATGTTTAGAAATGAGATTGCACTGATGAAATGCAAATTGTAATGCGGAGATGTTATTATTTGAAGTAAAAAAAAGATTGTGTCATCTTCTTATTTTTTTTTTATCGTCATCTTCTTATTTCTAGTGTGAAAGAAAACATATTAACCCGATAAAAAAAATCAGTAAACTATTATGTAAATATTGATATATGGATGACCAATGGCCTACCACATTAGATGCTCACTTGGGAGTTACATGTAACTCCTATTTCTACATCATTATCTCTCATTCATATGCATTGATATAAGGATGTAGTGGTTACCAAAGTGTGCCTAAAAATATAGCACACCATTGTATCAAAAGTGAAGAATGAATAAGAAGAACTCTTTCCTCTCTTCTCTTGTGTCTTTCCCTCTCTAATCATCTCTTGTAGTTGCTTATATTTTCATAGTTTCATAACATAAACATATTAGCCTAGATTTTTTGAGTGAGAGCTAAATATCGTGACCAGATAGCTACAGATTTATTCTACCTTAAAAAACTTTCACATGGTTGGATTGTCAATTAATCGACCAACAGTTGTTCCTTAATTCTATTTTTATGAACTGCAAAATTACATATATTTTATTGTTGCATCTTATTCAGTTCTCATTGGGATACCTTAAGAAAAAAAATCAAAACACAATTAGTAGACTACATTGGTGACCCAAGCAAAGACCAAGGATTTTGTCCAGTATTCAATAATAAAATAAAATTAAGAAATTTACCAAATTAATTTAACAAGGCTTTTCTTAAGTACATAATTTCATCTTTTTTATAATGAGTTATGACAACTTTTCATATTTAATAAAGTTTGTGTAAAATACATTTATCGTTTATGTTAGAGTCTCACCTCTTTTGACGAATGCAACAAAGTAATTACTAAGAAATTGTTTACTCAAACAATTCTATAAACGGTTGTTGATGAAATTCAAAATTAAAATGATAGTTGATTGCAACCAATAAGGTTAATACTAACTTCAACAAACGAGTTAATAAAAAGAGAATAAGTAACATTTCCTGTCTCCACCATTCACCTAGCTAGCTCATCAACTTCCTCCAATTCTTTGAACATCTCATCATGCTAAACATGATAGTAACCCATCACTCCTTGACCAAATCGTGTGAGCACAAATGTAACTATGTAAGTAACTCAATAGATAAAACTTAATATAGATTTAACTAGAATTTTAAAAAAAATTAGTGGATTCGTAACAGTATTTTTCTCGTAGTTCAGAGCACTACATATAACCAAAATTTTAAGATATTTCTGGAAGGCATGCCATTCATCTTCAACTTAGTGTTTGCTAAATCATATCCACAGACCACAACTCAATTAAAACAAATTATCTATTAAAGTCAAAACACAAAACTAAGAATATAATTTTTTTGATAAAGACGAATAGAATATTTTTTAAAAACTAAGAATAGAATTTTACCTATACGAAATATCCTAACATTTACAATATTTGGTTCAAAATCCTGAAGCGAACAAAACCAGGGGTTTCCACTAATTTTCTGGGCCAAGTTTTGCAGGCCAAGACACCTCGGGCCTATTTTGTGGACCCAGTGGGTACTATGGAAACTTATTCATTGGCCCTCACCATTGGGTCATATAGGTAGCCCAACTGCCCAAGTGCCTAGTATTGATTAATCACTTGCTTTGAGCCTGGCAGTACTCTTGGACATTGGACCATGGTCTCACAACTCAAAGTAGTAATGGCAATGCCGCATCTCGGCAGGTACCTAAATACCCATGCCCTATCCCATGCTACTACGGGTTGAGGTGGGTGGGTGGGTAACCCATTCTTATATGTTATTTGAAAAAGTTACACGTAAATTTTACTTTTTACGCTAGATGAAGGGGGAAAATAGTGATAATAGAATGAGTAATTGAGTTGACAAGTTGAAAGATCAACTCTAACTAGTTTTTACCCGCTCTTTGGGCGGTGCATTATATTTGGTTATTTTATAATTCATTATAGTATTCTAAATATTATTATTTGTGTTTGTTGATCTAATATACATGGAATTGTAAATCTCACTTACCTTATTTTAGGTAATATTTCGTACTTTTATACCTTTTTATTTATGAAAATTTTAATTGTATTAACTGAGCTCTTTGTAGACCGTTCTTTATTGATTTAGAATTTTGTATTGAACTAAAAAAATGATAAAGAAGTTAAAAAATTTAAGGCCACAAACAAAGAAGTTAGAATAAGAAAATATGCTCCCATTAATAAAAAGAATAAAGCGAAGAACTTTTCATTTTCTTTCCCTTCTCATATGTCGGTATATGATAATAAAGAATATTTCGATCTAGATCCCACCAATATCGTGTATTATCAGTTACACCTGCAATTCTGGAATAATGATGAAACAAATTAGCATCCACATCCATCAATCTTCCGCATACTCAATTAATTTAACTTGGCAATGTTCTAGCAAAACCAACCACAAACAGAACTATCAGTTGTCACTAATTTATTAAAACAATATTTTCAGCAAACTAAACTGCATATAAACACAATTTATATTTTATAGAGAGCTGCATATCTCCTAAAAGAAAAAATGATGCTTTTTACCGAATAACAACATAGACAAACAACTCAACTCATTCTATCTTGCAGATTCCTAATTTGTGAACTGAATCTATGAACCAATCCAAATAGTAGTTGGTAAGAAAACAATCATGTCAAAATCAAGCTTTAGTTAGGGATTCAATGAGGAAAAATCCACCCTACTGAAACAAACAAATGTCATAGCAAACGTGTAGAAATTGAAAAACATCGAAATACACGACTGAGGAACCACCACCATCATTTTCTTTCTTCTTCGCGACTTTTATAAAACCTCAATTATGTTCCCTTATACTAATAATCCCTTTGCTACGTACTAAATACCAATTACTAACCAGATCATCACCTTATAGCAAGCTAGTAGAATCTCAATTATGAACATAAGCAATATAATGAACAACCCTCACAACTCTACTTTCCATTTCAACATATAAGGAATCGGGTTGCAATAGGCATTTAAGGAAACCGATCAATTATTCAACCAAAGGAGATATGCCCTAAGTCCAACCAATTATCCCTTCTAATTATATATTACCTATTTACATAAAAGTATATTATGTAATAGAGAACATAAAACAACTCCGTGAAAACGAAGAAAAAATACATTTGCTCATCGAGTGGAGAAATTTACCATCCAACAGTTTTAATTTGGAAGAAATTAAGAAAATAATGGAAGAAGGGTGAGTAGTTGCCAGCTTCAGATCAAGGAGAAAGAGGGAGCAGTCGACAATCGTCGGTTTGGTTCACCTCGTCTTCGCAATGATAGGATGAACTGCTTTCATTAACAGGCAAATGTTACAACTGCTCAAAATTTTGCCATCTAATCGTTGCCTCGTGTACCTCCCTCCTCCTATTCTCCTAAAAAAAACACTTCATATGCATTACCATTTCCTTCTCTATCTAAATTCTGATTTTCAATGTTGGATTTTATTTCTAGAGAGACAATCAAAATGGAAAAAGGATAGAGATAAATTAAAAGGTTGCGTTCATAATTAATATTTTTTCATTTTATCGGAATGAATAATAAGTGTTTTAAAAAAATAACAATTATTGCTCTGTCAAGTTTATCTCCAGACCTTTTTCTATATAAATTATACTTGTTTTATTTTATAAGTATATGCATTAGGAAGACGTTAGTGTTTTATAGCAAAAAAAAAAAAAATATAGTCATGTAGTTCATTTTTCAAAATCAATTGATTGTCAAACGCTTATTTTCTCTTAGGCCATCGTTTAAATTTTGTTTAATTGAAAAATTATCATTATTCAGATGTGTGATTGTTTTTTCCCCATCAAAATGTAACTTTTATAAAGTTTTAGTAAAAATGAATAGAAAATTTACTTAATAAGATTTAATAAGATATTTTTGGGTTAAACAAACACGATATATGTCACTCTCTATTTTCATCTTTATAGTTTGTTAATTGAAGAGAAGATTATTACTTATGTGTCTTTGTTTGTCTAAATGTTTCACAAAAAATATAGCTTAATGAGTAGAAGTATTAAAAGAAGAGAGATATAGCTCATCCATAAATAGATCAATAAATAAAATTTTGTTTGTAAAAAAATTGTCCATCTTGCATCTTGTAAATTCACCAAGTGCTTATGTGGCAAGAAGTTACTTTTGAATAACAATAATATTAAGTATAGATAGATATAGATAGATAGATAGATAGATAGATAGATATAGACTAGTTGAAGAAAAGTCACATGAGGAGAAATATGTATAACTACTGTAAGAAATTGAGATAGAATGGGGCGGGGCGGGGCAGGGGAGGTCGTAAGTAGATATCCATGCCCCGCCCCACGCTACTACGGGTTGGATAATACTCGCCCCATCGTTGGTTATGTCGCGTTATACCCGCGGGCGGGATCAAATTACCATCACTACTCACAAGTCACAACTGTACATGGGCGCTAGGTCGTGCTTGGGCCGGCACATGCACGCTTCAGGCCCATTTATTTTGTGTCGTGCTTGGAACGGCCCGTTTGTTTTTGTGTCGTGCCGTGCAAGCCCATTTGTTACTTTTGCTAAGCCCGGCCCGGGCCCAGGCACGATTTGAATCGTGTCGTGCCTACTTGTGGTCGTGTCATGCTCATATTTGTGTTTAACAAAAATGAAGAAAATAAAAGAAGGAATGAAAAAGAAGGAGAAAATTAGACGGAGAATGAAAATATTAACCGGGAATGTTTGAGAAACGTAACAACAAAGAAAATAAGAAGTATAACGAGTGTGAAGTTACTTTGTTTAATTCTTTCGTTCGTTTTTTGTTATGGTAGTAATTATGTATATATCTTAATGATCACTTCTAACAACAATAAATAATTATTTTTGTACTTATATTTGCAATATTTCAACCTATTATTCTTTTTATATTTATTTTTTATCAAATTAATATTTTTTTTGTGCTATGTCCGTTCTTATACCCAATAAGGTTTTGAAAAGATTAGGCCCGCCACGACCCATTTACATACCATGACGTGCCCATGCTCATTAGGGTTAGGCCCGACACGGCCCGTAAAGAATTCGTGATCGTGTCGGGCTGGCCCATATATTTTGTGCCCGTGCTCGTGTCGTGCAAGCCCGTGGGCGGCCCAGCCCGGTGCCCACGTACAGTCACAACTGAAGTGGAGACTTCGTTGCTTCTCATGGTGGTGGCATGTCGACCAGTATAACTGAATTCAACTGGTACATGTTACAAAATCAATATTAATTTTTCTGGTATGATTGATATGAACGATTTTCGATCTTTAAATAAAATGATGTTGTTTTGGTGAATCCAATTAAAAAAAAATATTGATTTGTTTATTGAATTTGAAAGCAAAGTATTGATATTATTTGTTGAATTCAAATATAAATATTTAGATATTTATATTATTTATTGAATTCAAATATAAACTTTCCTAACATAAATTTTAGGGTTAATACCCCAGTTTGACCCGAAGTTTAGCATAAGTGACAATTCTGGCCTTAATTTTTAAATAAGACATTTATGACCCATTTTAAAATTATTGGACAAATTTGGCTCGGAATTTGGGTTGACCGTTAAATTTGACGGTCAACCTTTTATTCCATCCATGACTAGCATTTAGTGGTGACATGTCTTCCACGTCATTTATAAAAAAACTTATGTCAGCCATATTTTTTTACATGTCTAATTTATTATAATGTCAAATTTTATTAAATATTTAAATACTAAAAATATAAAATTTCATTATGGACCTAATTCTCTTCCCCGACAAAACCCTCGATCATCAACCATCCCTTCGCCGCTTCTGTTTCTTATTCCCTGAGACTGATTTTGCCTTTACTTTCCCCCTAGTTCTAATGTTCCATTCATTCTCTACTTTCAATAATACAACTCACATGAATCCAAATCAATTTCAATAAAAAATTCACCTTTCCTTAATCGTTCTCCAATCTCAGATCTTGAGCAAGCAGTAAAGTGCGACTGCCGATTTCCTGGGTTCTCGACTTGAATACTTTGCGAAAGAAGTTTGAACGGCAGGAATAAAAAAGGACGAGATCTGGAGTTGAAAAAGGAAGGGCTATTAGTTAGAGATGACGAAGTAGAGATGATGTAGCTTCAGATCTCGCGGTGACGTAGCTTCAGATGTTGCGGCGGCGATGTAGCTTCAGATCTCGCGGTGGCTCGCCTCATACGCGATTTCAGAGGACCTGTTCTCGGGTTTATAACCAATTCGTTCTTCTGGTTTATGTCTTTCCAACCCAGAACCCTCTATAATCCAGATTCCTTCCTCTGCGGACCCAGAGCAAGAAGAAAGACCATCGAGCTCCATCACCATCATCAATAGTCATCTTCAATGGTCAATCGCCACCGTCGATGCGCATAAGCTCAGCTGCGCCTTCTTCCCACCGGTGGCCCTTGCATCTTGTCATCTTCAATAGTCAATCGTCATCGTCGTTGGGGTCCCTGCTTGCTTCAACACCACCGTCGGCAAGATGATATTGGTCTTCCTCTTCCCTTGTTCTTTGATTACCTTGTCGGAGGAGGAAGCAGGAGTCTAAATCGTGGGCCTTTTGGAGTGTTAGGAGAGAAAAGAAGAAAATTAGGGATTTTGCTTGAGGTCTTCGATTTTTTTTTAATTTGTTGCTTTGTTTCATTTTGTTTTCAAATTTTTTCAGATAATTAAATAAATCATTATTTATTGACGTGGCCCAGCCACATCAGCAATTTTTGCTGAGTCATTAATGGTGAGAATGTTTGACCGTCAGTTTTAACGGTAAACTCAAACGTCGGGCTAAATTCGTCCAATAATTTCAAAAGTAGGCCACAAATGTCTTATTTGAAAAATGGGGTCAAAACTGTCATTTACGCTAAACTTGGGGCCAAATTAGGGTATTAACCCTAAATTTTATTTTAAGTTTTTAACCCGTTGAAATACCCCTATAGTGGGCGTTGCACTAGGAGATAGGACAGAAACTCTTTCATTCTAACTGCAATAGGGTTCTTGGCCACCATAGTAAAGATTGTTGTATTAATTTTCCTCGGTATGACGAGTTCAGAAAATATTAAAGTACCACAACTTCCACATCATTTTCTATGAGATCCCAGTGAGAGTGAGTATGGTAAAACTCAACTGAAAATTCTGGCCTACGAAGGTTGTTATGAAAATGTAGAATTTACCATCCACTTCATTATTTTCATTTCCCCTTTACTATTAATTTTTTTAGCTTATAAAGGGCCAATTTGTGTAAACTCTCAATATATGTTTCATATATCACCATTATATTAAGAAAACAATCGATTTGTAATGAACTTAATTAACATAATAAAGAAAAACTGGAAAGTGGAAACTCAATCCTAAGCGTCCATAAAATTTATATCCCAAAAAAAAAAGTTATATCAGAATCCAGCATCCAAACCACCCGTATACGTGGAAGCATCGCAATGAATGTCCGGCCAGTTGCTTGATCTGGATTCTGGAATCAATCCTTCAGTCGAATGAAACGAAATACCCAAATCAAGCAACAACAAAAAAAATTCCTCGTCCCTCACTGATACTTACGTTATCGTAAATAGAAGTAGTCAGACATGACAATGGCTGCCAGTTCGTCTGTAACCAATGTGAAGCGACAAACATCACTTATGCTTCCGGCAGAGACCGGCTGATGCGAAAGGCCGCATTAGACACCAGTCCAATGCCTGTGTTCAAGATTGTTAATTGCTATATAATTGATGCCAAAGGCTCAAGTTTTCCAGTATCAGAAACGAACAAGGATAACTTTAATCACTTGCAGAAATGAAACCCTTTCTCCTCTTCATCTCCCTCACTCTTACTTCCACATTCTTCTCCTTCTCCTTCTCTCAGGAAGCCTCAGCAGCTCCAGAGAAAAGCGACTTGCAAACTTACATTGTGTTTCTAGACAAGCCAGAAGGTCGAACGTTATCCACAGAAGGATCAGATGAAGATTTACACAGCTGGTACACCACATTTCTCCCTGAAACCACCTTAGCCACAAACCAGCAAGAGCGCCTGGTGCATTCCTACCGCAATGTGGTCACAGGATTTGCTGCTAAGCTCACAGCTCAAGAAGCCAGAGCCATGGAAGACAAGGAAGGCTTTGTCTCGGCCAGAGTTGAGCGATCTTTGTCCCTACTCACAACTCACACTCCCAAGTTTCTTGGTCTCCAGCAGCAGCAGCAGGATCTAGGGGCCTGGAACTTGTCGAATGCCGGTGGAGGAGTGATCATTGGTCTCATGGACAGCGGGATCAAGCAAGATCACCCTTCTTTCTCGGACGAAGGCATGCCTCCCCCGCCTTCCAAATGGAAAGGCAAGTGCGAGTTCAACGGCAAACAGACATGTAACAACAAGCTCATCGGCGCGAGAAGCTTCCCTTCTGGAGGGGATACTAATACTACCCCGTCGGAAGATGTCGATTTCTACCATGGTAGTCATACTGCAGGGGAAGCTGCAGGGAGCCCTGTTCAAGGCGCAAATGTGTTTGGACAAGCAAATGGGACGGCAATGGGAATCGCCCCCAAAGCTCACCTAGCAATGTACAAGATATGCCTAAAAGATGAATGCTTCGAGAGCGGGCTACTGGCAGCCATGGATGCTGCTATTGAAGATGGCGTTGATGTTCTTTCGTTGTCGATTACTGACGGATCAAGTCCTTTCTATGACAATGCGATTGCCTTGGCTACATTTAGAGCCATTCAGAGTGGTATCTTCGTGAGCTGCTCCGCTGGAAACAGTGGACCCTCAAAGTCTTCTGTGGTCAATGATGCACCATGGATTTTGACCGTTGGAGCGAGCACAATCGACAGGGAGATAAGAGCAACTGTGGTGCTAGGAAACAATATGAAGCTCCATGGCCAATCCGCCTATCAGCCAATTGATTTCAATTCACGTCAATTGTCAATCATCGATCCTGCAGCAACTGGGATAAATGCATCAACAACATTTTGTGAAGCAGGGTCATTGAAGAACATTGATGTTAAGGGCAAGATAGTCATATGCGAGATTGGAGGTGAAAATACAAGAATCGAGAAGGGACAAGAAGTGAAGGATAATGGTGGAGCAGCCATGATCTTAATCAATAGTTTGGGTGAAGGGTACACTACTTTTGCTGATGGCCATCATCTCCCTGCATCGCACGTCAGTTATCAGGATGGATTAGCAGTGAAGGGTTACTTGAACTCCACAGAGTCCCCAACTGCCACAATCTCATTTCAAGGTACCTTGATTGGCAAGTCAAGTGCACCACAAGTAGCCTCGTTCTCATCGAGAGGGCCTAGCTCGCAATCTCCAGGGATCTTGAAGCCTGACATCATTGGACCGGGGGTGAACATTTTGGGTGCTTGGGGAGTCTTTGTTGACAATGCTACAAACTCATTCAATATTGTCTCAGGAACTTCAATGTCATGCCCACATCTCAGTGGAGTCGCAGCTCTAATCAAGAGTGCTCATCCAGATTGGTCCCCAGCATCGATAAAATCAGCCATTTTAACCACCGCTTACACGCTCAATCGCGGTGGTAATGCAATCTCCACGGAGCAAAACGCTTCTGCTACCTTGTTTGATATGGGTTCCGGCAATGTCAACCCACCATTGGCGTTGAATCCAGGATTGGTATATGACATCCATCCAGATGACTACATTCCTTACCTCTGTGGGTTGGGTTATAATGATAAAGAGGTAAGATTGATTGTGCAACGAAAGGTGAATTGCTCGAATGTATCTTCCATACCCGAGGCCCAGTTGAACTATCCAACGTTTTCCATCTCGTTGGGTTCTGGTGATCACAAGACTTACACAAGAACATTTACTAATGTTGGCCTGCCTAACTCAACGTACACCTGCAAGGCCTTATCTCCCGAAGGCGTTGAGGTTAAAGTCGTGCCTAATGAGATCAAGTTTATGGAATTGGGAGAGAAAGCGAGTTATTCAGTGACATTTGGCATATTGGGAAATGTCACAAGAAGTAGTATTGGTGAAGGTTACTTGGTGTGGTCGTCAGTTGATCCTGAATATGACGTTGTGAGTGCTATAGCAGTTGTCTTTGTTTGAGAGAAGTTATTGGATGCCGCTTGAATTCCTCCCAAATCATAATGGCATGCCAATAGGAGGGGAACCTCATATTATATTATGTATTGTTGCAAACTGTTCGAGTCACTTTTGTGTTTGGAATAGTCGTTTTAATGTAGCTACCATAAGTAGGATGATGGTTGACAAGCACCATGGTAGGTACTAGTTTTGTGCCTACCCAATGAGTGGTGCGCTTTATTTGTATTTGTTTTTATTTTATTATTATTCATCATTGTTTTTCAACGATGTCATATTTTTCATGATAAAAACAACGATGTCATCCTTGTCTTGCTTACCATGCCAACTCGAGTTGAACACAATCTTCAATTTGGAGTGGACTAGCAAATACGCTTTGGTTTCTGGGTAGATCAGGTATATATCCAAGCTTGGTTTTCCACCTCTCTTGTTTGCTCCAACTAAGTTATCCGTAGGGAATATGATTGCTAAAACTTGTGATGTTATTATAAGTTAATCACTAAACTTAATATAAACTTCAAATACATTCTTTTTTTTTGGGTAAATACTCGATACCTTCATTTAATAATGCATCTTGAGTGAAATTCAATCATGTATATCAAATTTAGGTTACATCAAGGTAGCTCTAATTTACTAATTTTTTTAAAGTATTTTTAATTAAAGAAAATAGTTTTTTCACCAGCAACACTGACTAATCGCCAATAAATGAACATTAACAACTCAAGTACTACTACACTAATAAAGTAAGAAATGTTTATGTGACTTGAGGTTCATAGATAGAGAAGAATGAAATGGCTTTGATGAACTTAACATCAATAGCTCAGCAAGAATAGGAGAGCTTCATGACTACTGTCAACAGATAAATGCCCCTATTTGCATCGGGGGTGACTTCAATCTGGTGCGAAGCCATGATGATTATCTAGGAGCAAGGCGCAGTATAGACCTCATGAATGAATTTAATGGTTTCATTGATAGCAATCTCCTTCTTGATCTTCCTCTGAAAGGAAGTCTTTTTACTTGGAGTAGGGGTTCGGACAACCTTTCTTTGTCTCGAATTGATAGGGTCCTGGTCTCTCCTGACTTTGACATGACTTTTCCGGACTGCTCCCTCTCATCTCTTGATCGTGTAGAATCCGATCACAATCCTTTACTTTTACGATGGGGTGATGACAGAAGAGTTAAAAGGCCTTGGCGCTTTGAAAACATGTGGCTTGAGGATAAAAGGTTTTATGAAAGCTTAGATATGTGGATGAAGATACCAATACAGTGTACTGGATACTCTTTTCTTTGGTGTAAAAAGCTGCAGGTCATCAAGCAGAAACTCAAAACGTGGAACAAAGAGGTCTTTGGAAACATTCACAAGAGGGTTGATGATTTGTTGGGAAAGATTCATGAGATTGATTCAATTGAAGAAAGCAGACCTCTTGATAGCGACGAAGCAGTTGAAAGATGTGTGCTTAAAGTGGAACTTGCTCATTGTTTGAATATGCAAGAAATTTGCTGGAGACAAAAATCAAGGGAGACTTGGACTCAAAAAGGGGACAGCAATACAAGGTATTTCCATCGTATTGCCAACTACAAGAACAAATTCAACTTTATAGATCGTATTAGAGTGCAGGGGCACATGAAGGAAGGCTTTCAGGAGGTAGCAGTTGGCATTCTTGATTTTTATATGGACCTCTTTAAAGAGCATATAAATTCCAGGCCTTTCCCCAGTTCTTATTTCGACTTCAGAATCAAGGAAGCTGATATTTTAAGGCTCTGCCAACCATTTAGTGAGAAGGAAATCTGGGAAGCTCTTAAAGACAGTGATGGATCCAAGTCACCAGGCCCTGATGGGTTCACTTTTGACTTCTATAAGAGATGTTGGATGATGGTTAAATCAGACATTGTTAATGCTTTTGTGGACTTCCATGATTCTTGTCAACTTCCAAAGACAGCTTCACATTCCTTTATCTGCCTGGTTCCGAAAAAAGATGTTGTGGAGGATGTAAAAGACTTAAGGCCAATTGGACTTATGGGAAGCCTCAATAAACTTATTAACAAAGTCTTATCAAGAAGATTGAGTGTTATCCTACCTGATTTGGTGTCTGTGCATCAGCAAGCTGCTGTTAAGGGGAGACAAATAGCAGAAGCAGGTCTCATTGCCAATGAATTGGTCGATAGCAGAAGAAGAAGCAGGAAACCGGGTCTAATGTTCAAACTTGACATAGAGAAGGCTTATGACAATGTCAATTGGGAGTGTCTTATCAAGATACTGAGGAGGTTTGGTTTTCCTGAGTTATGGATTGATTGGATGAAAAAGACAGTGTGCTCCCCTCTCATCTCTGTCCTTGTTAATGGAGAAGCCTTTGGTTTTTTTCCAGCGTCTAAGGGCCTTCGTCAAGGAGATCCCATCTCCTCGGCACTTTTTGTCCTCGTGATGGATGTTCTATCATACATGCTATCAAAGCTTAAAGCAGAAAACAAAATCAGCGGTTTTTTCATGAATGAAAGACTTCAGCAAGGTGAGGTAACACATCTTCTCTTTGCGGATGACACTTTGATTTTCTGTGATGTCTCTCATGATCAAGTTATTAGCATCTTGTCCACTCTGTTCTGTTTCCAAGCAGTTACAGGTCTTAAGATTAACCTGGAGAAATCAGTAATGTATACTGTGGGAGATGTACCAGAACCGAGTTTCTATGCTAATATTTTTGGATGCAAATGGAGCACGAACCCTCCGAAGTACCTTGGGTATCCTCTGGGTGCTAAACCAAATGCAGCATCTGTTTGGGAGCATGTTATAACTAATTGCAGGAAGAAGCTTGAGGGGTGGAAAAGTAAGTATCTATCAACAGGTGGAAGAGTCACTCTTAACAAATCTGTTCTCACAAACCTTCCTGTTTACTACTTTTCTTTACTTAAAGCTCCTAAAAAAGTGATTGAGGACATGGAAGCTATACAGAGGAACTTTATTTGGAATGGAAATAATGACAGTCGAAAATCGCCTCTTGTGAATTGGGATCTTTGCAAGACTCCTAAAGCTAAAGGGGGATTAGGAATCTGTGATCTAGAGTGCTTCAATTCTGCTTTACTTTTGAAGTGGCTTTGGAAGTTTGCTACTGAGAAAAATAGTTGGTGGAGAGGATTAATCAATATGAAATATCCGAATATCATGTCCGATTGGCAGACTGCTCGGATTAGCTCTGGATTTTCAAGTTCTGTTTGGGCTAATATTGCCAAGAATTATCATCTTTTCTGGAAATATACTCAGATTGATCCAGGAAGTGGAGGCCATATCTCATTCTGGTATGATAATTGGTCTTCAAACTCTATTCTCGCTGTTGACTACCCAAGAGTTGCTGCTGCTGCTAACGAACCTGCTGCTCGGATCACAGACATTGTCTCCTTCACTGATACTGAGGTAATCTGGAACCTTAATTTGAGAGTTAGATTGAGAGGGGGAGCGGAGAGAGAAAGAGAAAGGCTTTTGCTCCATTTAAATTCTGGAAATGTGCTTTTTGCCCCTAACAGCCCTTGCAGGATCATTTGGGTACCAAATCCAGAAGATGGCTTCTCCGTTAGCTCAGCCTATGATCAGCTAACAAATGAGAATTCCCACGGCCTCCGAGACTTTGACGCATCATCTATTTGGAAGCCTTTCATCCCAAGCAAAATTTGTTTCTTTATGTGGACTCTTTGGCTCAAAAGGATCTACACGATGGATGTTATTAAGAGAAGAGGAACACAGCTTGCAAACCGCTGCACGCTTTGCTATATTGAAGAGGAAAACGCAGATCATCTCTTCACCAGATGCGAGTACATTCAAGACGTTTGGAGTATTATCAAGAGAAAGAAGAACTTCATTGGCAATTTGCAAGGAGACGTTACTTCTGCCATTAACAATAGACCCTCCTTGTCACCCAGCAGCATTGACGAGTGGTTCAATGTCAGTATTCTTCATGCTATTTTTTGGTCAGTTTGGTTGCAAAGGAATCAGAGGTTATTCAAAAATACTGGTTCTACTGCCATGATCATTGCTAGGAAATCAGTCAGGATGGTTGTTCATTGGCTTATTGCTAATCATAAGATCGACAAAGAGCAAGCAGCTTCTTGGCTTGCTGAGTTTCTTCATTAATATTTGCTTTGTTAGCTGTCTGTTTTGTGTTTTCAGCAAGGACGTTTCAGTCTGTCTTGCTGCTTTACCTTTCTTCCTCAGCAGGAACGGTTTCCAGTCCGTTAAGCCTTTCGTTCCTTTCTTCTTTTTTCTTTTTGCTTCTGTTTTTTCTTGTGTATTATGAGTACTGATCGGGAACCAGGTTCTTCCCTCTTGAACCTGTTTCTTTCCCTTTTCGTTGTATATCTCTTTTTTGTTCTTTATTAATAAATTTCGCCATTATCAAAAAAAAAAAAAGAATCTTGTTGAATTGAGTAATAGTTCATTTTCATAAAGTTGTCTTCAAAACATATTTTTCTATACTTGAACTAAAACTTCAAAATTTAGTAGATCATGCAAATTAAAAATCAAAAGTTATACATATAAGTTGGTATTGCCACGATGTACATAGATGATCTGAATTTATTGAACAATATTTGTTTTACAGAAATCAACTTGTAATTGCTTTTTGTCATAATTAAAGTTCAGATCAATATCTTTTTAGCACACGCTAAACATATTCCTTTACCTCTGAATAAAAATCGATCATATTCTTGAATTGTTAAGTTAAAAACCATATGTAACTTCTTTTATATACGACATAACTGAATGCATGTCGAAAGACCCCAAAATAGTTAGTAAAAATTTGATTAATATCCATCTAGTACATATATTCTATTAAATGCGTTTAAAATTTTCATTTACGTACTATTATTACGTTACCTCCTTATTTTTTGTTTGTTTGATAGTTCAAGTATTAAACACCTATAATATGTTTACTACACGTATTAGGAATTAGACTGCTAATTTGTTAATTTACATTTGTATTTATTTGTGCATTATAAATTTCTAAATTTTCATTATTGATACCAAATTTTTAGCCATTGTGATTGTTTAGAGGAACGTATAAAATTTCGTACATATTGATACCGCAACACACCAATAACTTTTTTATTAACAAAGCGTCAAACTTATCAGAATTCATTAATAAAAACATGGCTAGTGACTACCATGTATGTGTTGAAGGATTAATTAAAGGCCCATAAAATTGCTACAGAGTTCCAACTTCCAACGAAAGGGCTGAATGTATTGGGTGTTCTCAAGACCCAATACATTAAAACTTAAATGACCAAATGATCTCTCCGTGCTCTGCAGGAGGCAGCAAAAGTGAAACTAAACGAATTATTAAGGAGAACCTCCATATATTGATTGTTTGATTTGATTGATTATACTGAAAACAACATCACCATAAAATTGCCCCATCCTAAACATGTCAAAATTGAACTACTTTTAATTATTGAAGTTGACTCTGACCTGTTACACTGAGTTTTCAATAAATCCAAAGTTTATCACTAGGGAAAAGAACGAACGGAGAGATTTGTGTTAGGGACAATACACACAGTACAACAAGACAACTCATTTCCATTTCTCTACTCTTTACAAGAAAAGAAATTCTCAGAACAAGAATTACAAATGTAGGAATTTATATATACTTGGTACAATGTTAGATGAAACACAAAAACTACTAGTCGGAAATAAAAATTTAGGTCCTAAAAACAAGCATGAGGAACATTTCTGAAGGATTAGATTTAGGTTTTTGTGCAATTACAGGCTTGAGTACTGTTACCCTTTTAGAAACACAAAAAGGTGAGCACATGTTATATTTTTTTTGTACCACTATGATATTTGTTTTAGAACCATCATGATATTTAATGAGAATACTACCCCATGGTAAAATTTCTATACGATTATATTACAAATTATGTACCAGGATGGTATATAAAAGTAGTCTTGATTAAATATCGAAAAAATAACCTCGACTAACGTATTCTGTTATTTCAAAATATGCAAACGTGAGTGTTATCTTTTAAATCATATCATATTTGTGTATTTATTTTAAATTCGAGTCAAAACGAATGAATTATGTTTCATTGAAAGCTAATTATGGGAAAGAAGTAACGATTTGCATCAGAGATGTTAGATAATGATGCATAAGTATGGATTGCTTGGCATGGAAATATATACCATATTCCTACTTCTTTGGAACATATTGTTGGATTAAGGCATTAAGCAACGAATGCCACCATTCCATCCGGCAAACACAGAGACGAATGCAACAGTCCAAAATAAGATGGAGGTTTTCCTTTTCTCAAAACGTTGTTTCTTATGCAAAACAGGACTTTGGACCTCATAATTATTATTTTTTTCTAAAAACGTGTTTTTCTTGGGCCGGCGGCCATCCCAACAGTAATCTTACTCTATATATTGGATGACACATTTTCAAGTTTCAGTATCAGCAACCTCAAAATGAACGCCTTTCTCCTGATCTCCCTCGCTCTAATTTCCACATTCTTCTCCTTCTCCTTCTCTCAGGAAGCCTCATCAGCTTCAGGGGAAAGTGACTTGCAAACCTACATTGTGTTTGTAGACGAGCCAGCAGAAGGCCTAACGATCTCAACAGAGTCAAATGATGATTTACTTAGCTGGTACAACTCATTCCTTCCCACAACCACTCTAAGCTCAAACAACCAAGAAGAACGAATGGTACATTCCTACCGCAAAGTTGCCACAGGATTCGCAGCTAAGCTCACACCGCGGGAAGCTAAAGCGATGGAAGGGAAGGAAGGCTTCATCTCGGCCAGAGTCGAGCGATCTGTGCCCCTACACACAACTCACTCTCCTAACTTTCTCGGTCTACAGCAGAATTTAGCAGGATCTGATTGGAACTCCTCGAATTTGGGCGAAGGACTGATCATTGGTCTAATTGACAGTGGAATCAAGCAAAATCACGCTTCTTTCTCCGACGAAGGCATGCCTCCCCCACCTGCCAAATGGAGAGGCAAGTGCGAGTTCAACGGGAAACGAACATGTAACAACAAGCTCATTGGTGCTAGAAGTTTCCCTGCCTCCTTAGGCGATCTCCCGTCGGAAGATGAATACCATGGTAGTCATACTGCAGGGACAGCTGCAGGGAGCTCTGTTCGAGGTGCTAATGTGTTGGGACAAGCGAATGGGACTGCGATGGGGATCGCACCGAAAGCCCATTTGGCAATGTACAAGGTTTGTGGAACGAGCGACTGCCCCGAGAGCGGGGTATTGGCGGCAATTGATGCTGCTATTGAGGATGGTGTTGATGTGCTTTCGATGTCGCTTGGTGTCAGAACGGATAATTTCTATAACGACGTGATTGCGGTGGGTGCATTTAGAGCCATTCAGAATGGCATCTTTGTGAGCTGTTCAGCTGGAAATGCTGGACCATCCAAGTCTTCTTTGAATAATGAGGCGCCATGGATTTTGACCGTTGGAGCGAGCACGATCGACAGGGAGATCAGAGCGAATGTGGTGCTAGGAAACAATGTGGAGCTCCATGGGGAATCCCTCTACCAGCCAGAGGGTTTTGATTCGCGGCAATTGCCAATCATTGATCCCGCTGCAACTGGGGGAAATGCATCTGCAGTATTTTGTGTAGCAGGGTCATTGAAGAACATTGACGTTAAGGGCAAGATAGTCGTATGCCAGGCAGGCAGAGTTGATCCAACCGCGAAGGGACGAGAAGTGAAGGATAATGGTGGAGCAGGCATGATCTTTATGAATGATTTGGCTGGTGGAGACACAATTTTTCCAAATGCTCATGTTCTCCCTGCGTCGCAGCTTAGTTATCGGGATGGATTAATAGTGATGAGTTACTTGAACTCCACACAATCTCCAACTGCATCAATCTCATTCCAAGGTACCTTGATTGGCAAGAAAAGTGCCCCACAAGTTGCCTCATTCTCTTCCCGTGGGCCTAGTCTGAACTCTCCAGGGATCCTAAAGCCTGACATCATTGGACCCGGGGTCAACATTTTGGCTGCTTGGCCAGTCTCGGTTGACAATGCTACCAATTCATTCAATATGATATCAGGAACTTCAATGTCCTGCCCGCACCTTAGCGGAGTCGCCACTCTGGTCAAGAGTGCTCATCCAAATTGGTCCCCAGCAGCCATAAAGTCGGCCATTTTAACCACGGCTTACAAGTACGATCGTGGTGACAGGTCAATTTCCACCGAGCAGAATGTTTCTGCTTCTATGTTCGATATGGGTTCTGGCCACGTGAATCTGTCAATGGCCTTGAGTCCAGGCTTGGTATATGACATCCAACCAGATGATTACATTCCTTATCTATGCGGGTTGGGTTATGGCGACACTGAGATAAGATTGATCGTGCAACGAAAGGTGAATTGCTCGAATGTATCTTCCATTCCCGAGGCCCAACTCAATTACCCGACATTTTCCATCTCATTAGGCTCCGATGATCAGAAGACTTTCACCAGAACGGTTACTAATGTTGGCCTTCCCAACTCTACTTACACATGCAAGGAGGTTTTATCTCCGGAAGGCGTTGATGTTAAAGTCATGCCCTACAAGATCGAGTTTAAAGATTTGAACGAGAAAGCGAGTTATTCAGTGACATTTACTAAGTTGGGGAATGTGACGAGAACTAAGGTTAGTGAAGGCCACTTGATCTGGTCATCTGCTGATGAAAAATCTAAGGTCGTCAGCGCTATTGTCGTTGACTTTGTTTGACCTGATTAATACTTAATTGAGTTATAGGTATAATATGTCCTTCTACTATGATGTTTTATCAAACACACCCCTTTACTATTTTTTACATCAAACATGCCCCTGTACTTTGTAAAAATTATCAAATAAGCCCTTTTGTTAAAATTTTCATCCAAAAACCATTAACCAATGCCGAACTTTGGTTTGGGCGACACAAATGTCTAAAATATCCCTAATAATTTCAATTTAGAATATTTTTTTTATAGCCAAATAATTCAAATAATTTCACTTTGAAGAGACCCAGAGAAATAAAACGGTGGACAAAACTGATATTTTCCCTCCCATTTGCCGATGTCGGGTCGTCTAAATCTCGGTTCAACCATGGTTGACGATTTTTTCAATAAAATTTTTAGCAGGAGGGCATGTTTGATAATTTTGTCAAAGTACTGGAACATGTTTTATGTAGGCAAAATACATATGTATAGCCAAAACTTTCATCTTTGTGACAATAATAGCCACTTTTGAAGAAATACACAAAATAGCCACAATTTGAATTATCGTATGACAAATCTAGCCACTTCCGTTACAAACTTTAACAGTGTTAGTGTGACCGTCAGTTATCTAAACGGAACGCTGACTAAGATGCCAACTCAGCGCCCACCTCAACAACAACTCAGTCATTAATGACACGTAGATGTCAATTATAAAAATAAAATTATTAATAATTAATATTTTATCCCAAGATTATCTTTCCTTTTCTTTTTTTTCGTATCTCTGCGGGAATCTGTTCTTCCCAAAAAAATCAAGTTCTACAGCCCTCCATAACTTTCCAAACCCAAACAAAAACAAAATCTCAGTACCAATCTCTAGTCTCTACCCATCAATCCCGTAAGAACATCATCAATCAAAACAAAAAGAATCTCATCAAACACACCGACGAACTCTTCTCCAGCATCCGTCGTCTTGCTGGTGAAACCGGATCCGTCGCGCCCCATGGTCGTGTCGAAGCCGATGAGGTGCTCGATTCTCCTTCCTTGTCGTGGCGCTCAATTCTCCTTCGTTGTTGTCTGTCTAGGCCCTGGATTTGAGACATCGAGGAAGAATCACGACCTGGCGGCGTTGAGGGAGAGATGTGGCGGTGCGGGATGGATGGCGAGAGGACAAACTAAGGGTGGAATAGGGATTTCTAGGTGGCGAGTGCGTAGATCGGGAGGAGTGCGGTGGTTATAGGAGAGAAGGTGCAGTGGTTATTGTCGACCGGGAAGGAAAGGAAGGCTCGCCGTTCGTCATGGTCAGGAGCCGAGCAGTTGATATTGATTTCGCCGTTCCTCCTCGACCGCAAATCCCTAATCCCTCCTCTGCAGCAGTTCGTCGCTTTCGATTCCACCCATCCCTATTTCCTCCTCCACCAAAAATCCCTAATCTCTGGGTTGTCGGAGTTCGTCGACCCAACGCAACTAGTCGCCACCAAACCAAGACATCTACTGGTCGAAGAGGGATCAGAGAAAGATGAGGGAGAAGATTAAGAGAGAGCAGCGGAGAAGATGGGTCAGAGATGAGGATGGAGATTAAGAAGGAATAAGGGATACAGGGGGATTTTATTTTCTTTTATTTTTTGTATGTTTTCTTTTTTCTTTGTGTATTTTATTATTTATTTTTAAAAGTTAAATCCACATCGCAATGTACCGACGCCACGTCAGCGTTTTTGTTAGTCCAGTCATCGTGTTAGATGACACCGTTAAAGTATTGGACGGAATTGGCTATTTTGTGTATTTTTTCAAAAGTGGCTATTATTGGCAAAAACATGAAAGTTATGGCTATACAAGTGTATTTTACCTAAAAAATAGTAGAGGAACATGTTTGATAAAACTTCACAGTAGAGTACATATTATACCAAATACACTACTTTATTTACTATTGCAATTGTGGCCTTTTCTTGTCTCTTAGTGTTTTTGCCTTTTTGGAATATTTGATTGGCTACAATGTAGTTTAATTGTATGGCTATGTTGCTTAATTTTAGTAAACCAATAAATGGGTTAGTCCATCGTTGCTACGTTCAATACCATCATGGTCTGTGGTTTGATTTGGTTTTGTAAAAAATTTTAAAATTCGTATTAAAACACACGAGATATGAATATAATTATATAAAAGTTATTTTAATGAGAATAATTATATATAATGAGCAAATTTTTTATAGAAATAATGAGCAACTTTTAGAGAGGAATTTTACAATGCTATATAGTATTCTGTGCTATAGATTTTTGTCTTTATGGTACAACTTGAAATTGTACATTTAACGTTATGGTACAACTTTAAATTATACTTATACTGTTTGGACAAATTCTTTTATGGTACAACTTGAACTTGTACGTTTATGTGATGGTACAACTTCAAGTTGTAAAGTTGTACCACAACATAATGGTACAAAATCTTTTATGGTACAATCTAAATTTATATATTTCATGTTATGGTACAACTTTAAGTTGTACATTAAAACACCAATACTATATTGCATAGTAGAAATGCTTACTTTTAGGTTATGCAGTTGATCGTGCTATTGACAAACAACAAAAAGCCATAGGTGATTTTGCCCATCGAGAGCCTTGTATAGGGATGGCAATGGGGCGGGTTTGGGGCGGGTTTGCCTAAACCATCCCCATCCCCATCTTCAAATACCCAAACCCATACCCGCCCCATACCCATGCGGGGGAATGTTTTGCAAACCCATCCCCATACCCGTGGGTTTCGGGTACCCATGGGTAATACCCATCCCCGTACATCCAACATTATTATACCTAAAACTTACAAGAAAAGTTTTAATTATAACCATAAACAAACCTATTATATCACGAAGTCAACAAAACACGGTCATTTTCTAAATACGATTCAAAGAATATGATCCTAAAACATCCATTAATACATAATATAGACTATAATATTTTTAAATTATTATGCTCTAACTCTTGATACATTATTACTAAGTAATAATTAGGCAAAATACACTTGTATAGCCATAAGTTTCACGTTTTTGACAAATATAGCCAGAACTATTCGAAAACCCAAAATAGCCAGGAAATTGGAGGGTAGTGTGACAAATCTAGCCATTTCCGTTATAAACTTTAACGGTGTTAGTGACGCCGTCAATTTTGTTAGTGATTTGCTGATTAGGACGCCAAATCAGCGTACACGTCATCGACAAATCAGCATAAAGTGACATGTAGATTATATATGATAATATATAATAAAAATAAAAAAATAATATGAATAAAAAATACATTTAATATTTAATCATAAAAGAAACCAAAAAACCCTAACCCTTCCCCTTCCCCTTCACCTTCACCGCCACCATCCCCTTCTCCTTCCTCCCACCTCTGTTCCTTCCTCCCATCCATGGCCGCCGCCGCGGTCACCGTAACTACGAATCTCCCGCGTCACCACCATAAACACTACCCAAAAATTTCCTTCCCCTTCCTCACAAATTCCAATCTCACCTTCGCCCTCTCTGGAACCGCTTCCCTTGTGGCCATGCCCATCTCAACAATACCTCCCCACCTTCCAGATCCTTCTCCCTTCGAATCGCACCTCATCCCCATCAAGAGGACCGAGAGGGCGTCTTCTTTTCCAATCGCACTTCATCGAGATCCTCTCGCCACCGGAGCGGCGACAATCCCTGCAATTTCGGCTCAGTTCCAGATCGGGTTCTTCGTCCTGGTTTGATGAAATCCGTTTCGTTTCTCACCACCGACCAGCCCTCTGTAGATGAACTGATTGGGCGAATCTCGAGGAAACAATATTAGCTGCAAGAAGGAGCAGTGGGGATGGAGGATTTGGAGTGGTAGGTCGAGGGAAAAGAAACAAGCAGGTTGCTGCTCTTTGCCTCTGGATATCGAAGTGCTGCCCGCCGCCGATTGGAGGCTTCTTGTCGTCGTTTGGAAGTGCCCGGTCGCCGATTGAAGGCGTTTCTTCGCCGATTGAAATTTTCTCGCTGGTGGCGTTCCTCACCACGTCGCCGATTGAAAGGTTCTCGCTGGTGGCGGTGGAGAATCTCTCGACTCCTTGTTGTAGTTGTTGGTTGGTGTTTTTGAATACATAGGGAGGGTAGGGGTTCTTGGGTCTGGGCGCGGAGGCGGCGTCGAGTTTGGGTTTCAATCGCCGGGGAAGAGTTTGATGAATCTGTTCCCGGGAACTCGGACTTGGGTCTGGGCGCGGAGGCGGCGTCGAGTTTGGGTTTCAATAGCCGCCTTCTTTGTCTGTCGGCGGTGTGGATTGAGTTTGTGGGGGGAAGCGATGATCTGGAATTGAGAAGAGAGGGGAGGTGTTGTTCGTAGCGGAAGAGGAAAGAAGAGAGAGGGAGAGAGGAAGGTGAGAACAGGGGAGGATCTTGGTTGAATTGGGGAAGATGTACAGTTGGAGGAAGATGGGAGAAAGATGGGCGGTGGGTATAAGGTTGGAATTTTTTTTTTTTGTTTTTAAACTAAATTATTAGATAAATAATGATTTTTTATATTTTAATTTTTTTTAATCCACATCGGCTTGGTGGGGATCATAAATCGCCAACTCAGCATATTCCGTCAGTACAGTCAGATTGTTAAGTAACACCGTTAAAGAGATGGACGGAATTGGCTATTTTTGGTTTTCGAATAATTTTGGCTATATTTGTCACAAACGTGAAAGTTATGGCTATACAAGTGTATTTTGCCTAATAATTAACTAACATAATTTTGTTGACAAGGGGGAAAGTGAAAGAGTGGAAGGAGAATTGAGGGAAATGAATTAGGTTTTGATTAAGGTGGTTACTCAATTGCATTTCTACTATTTATTTTCTCGAGTTATCATCATCATCATTGATAGATTACAATTTAATCCACGTATTTTTTGATATGTGAAGAAATTCTCTTGGTGGGGCGGGTATGGGTATGGGTATGGGGCGGGGGAGGCTAAAACCATACCCGCCCCATACCCATCAAACCTTTTGCGGGTTTTACCCATACCCGCCCCATACCCGGTCAAAGCGGGGATTCCCCGCGTTGACTGGGTATGGGGCGGTCGGGTACCCGCGGCCATGGGTTTGATTGCCATCCCTAGCCTTGTAATTTGTCATTTTATAACAAGGGTGTAACTTCGTGTCTAGTTCAATTGAAGATTATAAGCTTATAGAATTGAAACTTGAAAGGTCATCAAGTTTCAAAAGTTACTAATTGTTTCTAATTTTGTCTATTTGGTTTAATATTTAATATCTTAATTTTGACTCAAAATTTATACAAAAATATATATTTGGCCCAGATTTTTTAATTTGAAAATATACGAATTTTCAAAATAACGCTTCATGTGAGTTGTGACATTCATAGAGTACTTGCAGTCTTTACCTCTGAATCTGATTGTACCCAAGTCTTCCAGTACTGCAATTCTTGTTATGGGGATTTCTCTCCATGGACAGAGTAGACAATGGCCATTTTACAAAACAACGACACAATTACGAGAGGCCTAATGGGTGATATATAGATAGATTGAAAAAAGAAAAGAAAACTTATCTGCTTAAATTATTTATGAGTTTTGGTGATAATAACAATGTCTTTTTTCTTTGTCAAATATCCCTTTTCCACTTCGAGAAATTTTGGGGCCAACGTTAAACTTATTTTTCAATTTTTTTTAAAGATGACTGCTGTTTAGAAGATTTTAAGTTAGAGTCTGCCAATCCATTTGAGTTTTCAACACGGTTTCTAATTTAAATCTAAAGATGGATGCGTGTAATTTGTTGCATATGTTTTGATAAATCGAAATTTTAATTAGTGTATATGATTTAGATAATTAGGATCTAAATTGTGCGCGATATTGAGCGTTATAGTATAGTAACATGTCACAACCTCCGAAAAATTTAAGTTTAGATATCATTATATTACTACAGATATGTGGTGCATTCAAATTTACATCGAGTACCATCGAACTAATCATATACGACAATTTGAATCGCATACACCAATCTAGTTCAATCGATCCACTAAAAGATCCAACTGATTCAATTCATTTCAATCAAATGCATTTAATACAAGTCCAATTGGTGGATTCATGGATTGTTAGAAATTATAATTTAGTACTTATATAATCTATATTTACCATTTGATATCTAAACTTTAATTTCTTAATGAAACTATTATTCGAGAATTGCAATTTGGTACCTGATTTTTTTTATAATGAGCGACATTTTAGTATCTACATTTTTTAAAATTCTCATAATAGCTCAATATCTACAAATCAATCTAATCTAATTAATGAATCCATCAATACATCGGACGAATTTTTCGACTTTGGATACAATCGTTTGATTATGAGTGAAAGAGAAAGCAACATTAACGACAAAACTTAGCCTAGTCATTGAAAAAGACCATACTATATAGAAGTGAGATGGACAGTAACTGCCAGAGTTTGTCTATAACCATTGTCAAGAAACGAACAGCCCAAAATTAGATGGGGAGTTTCACTTTCCATAACGTTGTTTCTTAAGCAAAGTTACTTAAACTAGTAAACTACGGCCGGCCGCTACCAACCTTACACAGCAGTGATACTGTTACTGCATATTGATGCCAAGGTTAAAGCTTTTTAGTATCAATCAGGCAAAAAAAAATGAAATCCTTTCTCCTCATCATCTCCCTCGCTGTAACTTCGACATTCCTCTCCATTTCCTTCTCCCAGGAAGCACCATCAGCTCCTGGGAAAACCGGCTTACAAACTTACATTGTGTTTCTAGACAAGCCAGAGGGCCTAACGTTACCCACGGAGGGTTCAAATTCAAATCATGCTGATTTACGCAGCTGGTACACAACATTTCTCCCTGAAACCACCTTAACCACAAACGAAGAGCGCATAGTGCATTCCTACCGCAATGTTGTCACAGGATTTGCTGCTAAGCTCACACCACAGGAGGCCAGAGCAATGGAAGACAAGGCAGGCTTTGTCTCGGCCAGAGTCCAGCGATCTTTGTCCCTACTCACGACTCGTACTCCTGAGTTCCTTGGTCTGCAGCAGAGTCTAGGAGCTTGGAACTTACCGAATTCGGGCGAAGGAGTGATCATTGGGGTCATCGACACGGGGATCAACCACGGTCACCCTTCTTTCTCCGACGAAGGCATGCCTCCCCCGCCTTCCAAATGGAGAGGCAGGTGCGAGTTCAATGGCAAACGGATTTGTAACAACAAGCTCATCGGTGCGAGGAGCTTCCTTACCAATACTACCCCGTCGGAAGATGTCGATTTCTACCATGGTAGTCATACTGCAGGGGAAGCTGCAGGGAGCCCTGTTCAAGGCGCAAATGTGTTTGGACAAGCAAATGGGACGGCAATGGGAATCGCCCCCAAAGCTCACCTAGCAATGTACAAGATATGCCTAAAAGATGAATGCTTCGAGAGCGGGCTACTGGCAGCCATGGATGCTGCTATTGAAGATGGCGTTGATGTTCTTTCGTTGTCGATTACTGACGGATCAAGTCCTTTCTATGACAATACGATTTCCCTGGGTGCATTTAGAGCCATTCAGAGTGGTATCTTCGTGAGCTGCTCAGCTGGAAATGAAGGACCCTCAAAGTCTTCTGTGGTCAATGATGCCCCATGGATTTTGACCGTTGGAGCAAGTACGATCGACAGGGAGATCAGAGCAACTGTGTTGCTAGGAAACAATGTGGAGCTCCATGGTCAATCCGCCTACCAACCAAAGGATTTGAATTCGCGGCAATTGCCAATCATTGATCCTGCTGCAACTGGGATAAATGCATCAGCAACATTTTGTGGAGCAGGATCATTGAACAACATTCTTTAAAATATAAAAGCTGGGTACACTTTATTGGCCTAATTGTTTTGCTATTGTTTCATTTTCTGTCTTTTAGTGCAATGAGAGTCTCATTCTTTCTCACAGCCAGCTCTCCACACAATTGTTGCCCTCTTCCCCTCTTCCCAATCGACAACGCCTTACCTCCTTCGAATCAGTATACCAGTATACCTAACCTCAGCCAGCCACATCTTAGATTTGCTTTCAGTTCTCACCATCCCTCAATTGCCGCCAGCTACCCCATAACCCCATTGCACCCCCACCATCCCTTTTTTTTCCGCCAAATAGCTCTCCCTGACAAATCCTTCTCCCATACTCTATCCTCCTATTTCACATCGCTGTTGATGGTTTCTTTCACAACATCATCCTTCCATCCCTCTATACAATCAGTCTTTTCTCCCATCTCCCCACAATCCTCCAACTCTCATTCACAATCCAATCTTTTCTGATTTTCCTCTCTCCTTCGACTCCAGCCACTCAGCGAAAAAACAGAGGCACGGGTGAGGACCGGGTACAAGGACCATTGATTTTTCAACAGGTGATCAACGCAAGTTCGATTCTTTCAGCTGTCACAGAATAGAGCCAGACAAAATCATAGATGTTAGATCCCGTTGATGTTAGCAGCACCATGCATCGATTCTTTCTGCTTTCCTTGCTCCAGCCCCGCAACAGCAGCTCCGGCTCAGAGAATAGTGCCTACGGCGGCGAAGTTGTCGGGATTTTCACTTCTCAGGAATGGCCACGGAGTTATGGTGTGGTTTTCACTTTGTACTATCATTTTTGTTTTTGTTTTGCTTGCTTGGCCTTTTGTTTCCTCTCTTTTCTCCATATCTACGCCGCTCGAGTTTTTAGTGGTCTGGTGGCTATTTGTCATTTGATGTCCTTGCCTGTGGTGTTTGGGTTTCAGTTGTGGGCTCAGTTGGTCGCCGACCTACAGTGCGGGGCAGATAGTGAGATACAAAAACAGGAACGGTTGCTGTTTCCGCTGATTGATTCCGTTTGGGTAGTTGCTTCCCCTTGCTGCATTTCGTCAAATCGTGTCTTAGGGTTGGTGTGCCTGGGTACTGTGATTACTTCAATTTCATTTACTTCCTGGATATTACAGGCAATAAACGAAGAAGGATTGGGGCCTGCACACTTCTTGAAGTTGTGGTTGATGGTTTGTCTTCCGCGTATGTCAGTGGTTACACCATCAATTGCACGATTAAAATAACAGGTATGCTGTTGCTTTTTCCCCATCAATTTTAGCTTGCTTTATGTTTTCAAATTAAGATCTGTTCTCCATTTTTATCAGAGGTACTTTGAGTGAGCAAAGAGTAACATCCACAATATGTATTACCCAATTGTTTGCATCATCATCCAAACAAAACGAGAGAAGTGAGAGTGACCAGCTTAACTATTTAGGAATAGAAAACCAAGACTACCTCTACGGTTTCTTTTTATGGTGGGGGTTTATTTTTAGTAGCTGGAACTTAAAGATAAAGACTTGGTAATCTACAAACTTTGAAATTTGGTGTTTTCATAGCTGTTTTTTCTTCCAGTTCCTCACATCTTTTACTAGCTGCTGGTTTTTTTTCTTCATGATCTTAAGACAATAACCAGTAGTGTTCCATTGTTTTATCCTTGCAATATTTTGTTCTCATTGTTGGATTGTTCTATTAATCATGACATGCTCTATGTTATTCCTCTACAGCAACATGGAAACTGTAGCTGGTGTTAGGAGCGAAACTACATGTGACTGCAGGTGCAATAGAAAAGGAAAAGGAGTTAATCCACAAATTGGTATGTGTTTATTGTTCTCCTTCCTGTTGATTTCTCCTTTCAATTTATAATATTGATTCCTTGAGTTAGATCTTAAATAAGTAGTTTTGGATTACCTCTACGGTTATATAAGCATGTTTGCCAATAAGTGTAAAACCTCACTCTTAGGAACTTCACATTTTAGTTAATATGAGTGTGGCAAGAAACCAGGATAAATCTTTTAATTCAGTTAAATAAGTAGATCTTAAATAAATAGTTTTGGACTACCTCTACGGTTACATAAGCATGTTTGCCAATAAGTGTCGAGCCAACTAAACCTTCTAAATAAGTTGCTTGAACAAGATAATGGGAAGCTTATTTGTTATGCCCATATGGCAGTTCTTTTTATACCCCTGGATAGTTCAAGGTATGGTACAGAGCTAGGGGAGGGAGGGTTTGGTAGGGTTTATAAAGGTTGGCTTCTGTTTGTTTGCTTCGGTTTGTTGTAGAGTGCGGATGCTATTTCATCAATCCTCTTATTTAGTTGCTTAGAGGTTTCGATTTATGCTCAATGGTGGCCTTTTCCTTGTTGTTTGCAAGTTTGAAGATGAGGAGTTTTGGGTTGGACTGTAAGCATCTTATTTAGACTACAACATATAAATTTGGTGAGATTTATAGGTTACTCTGCTGAAGGTCCTCTCCTAAAGTTTCAGTCAAAAGGAGAAATGCAGATAACTTTATGTGTACAAGATGAGCCTGAGTATTTGTCTGGAAGCATTCTACATTATGTATTTAATTTGTCAATTCTCTATTTCTTAGCATTCTGTAACTGTGTGGAAATAACACTACTGCTTTCCTAGAGTTCCATATGTAATGAACTGCAATGTTGACTTGATATGAATTATGGAATCGCTGAACAGTATAGTCAGAAAGTTCCTGAAATTAAACCTTGAACTGATAACAATGTTGGTTGGATCTATGTGATAACAATTTTATCACTTTCTTATATATAATAATGAAACCTTGGATTTGGCAAATGTGCAGGACAATTTCTTATATTTGTATTAATACCCAAAGCTTCATCACCATATTTCTAACATTTTGTAAATACAGATTACAACTTAAAGCATGCCTTTACATGTCCAGTTTAATATATAATTAAATTGCAGCACTGCGTTTTAAATTCAAGTTTGAAGTTTGAACTACATAAACTGCTCGCCAAGTTCCCTCCGCAACCACAGATAGGTTCTATATTGATGTGAAGACCATTGAAGACCATCGATTTTTAAACGTATCATTTCTTGGTGGCATTTAGGTATCCTACAACTTACTATTATCGACCAAACTAAATCAATTATTTGCCAACTAGGACTGCTCACCCTACGATCAAGTTGATGCAACTTTAGTCTCCGTGGCGTAGCCACGGGTATTGATTCTAGTTGATGTTAAGGGCAAGATAGTCCTATGTCAGATTGGAGGTGAAGTTAGGACAATAGAGAAGGGACAAGAAGTGAAGGATCATGGCGGAGCAGCCATGATCTTAATTAACGATTTGGCCGGTGGATACACCACTCTTGCTAGTGCACATGTTCTACCTGCATCGCACATCAATTATCAGCATGGATTAGCAGTGAAGGGTTACTTGACCTCCACACAACTCCCTACTGCATCAATCTCATTCGGAGGTACCTTGATTGGAAAGTCAAATGCCCCACAAGTCGCCTTCTTCTCTTCCAGAGGGCCTAGTCCTCAATCCCCAGGGATCCTAAAGCCTGACATCATTGGACCCGGTGTCAACATTTTGGCTGCTTGGGGAGCCTCGGTTGACAATGCTACTAACTCATTCAATGTTGTCTCCGGAACTTCAATGTCTTGCCCTCATCTCAGTGGAGTCGCAGCTCTAATCAAGAGTGCCCATCCAGATTGGTCCCCTGCAGCGATAAAATCAGCCATTTTGACCACTGCTTACACAATCAATCGTGATGGAAGCTCAATCTCCACTGAGCAGAACGTTTCTGCTACCGTCTTTGATTTAGGTTCCGGTCACGTAAACCCACCAACGGCCATGAATCCGGGTTTGGTATATGACCTCCACCCGGATGATTTCGTTCCTTATCTCTGTGGGTTGGGTTATGATGACAAAGCGGTAAGATTAATAGTGCAACGAAAGGTGAATTGCTCGATGGTACCTTCCATCCCCGAGGCTCAGCTGAATTACCCAACATTCTCCATTTCATTGCATTTTGGTGATCAAAAGACTTACACCAGAACTGTTACTAATGTTGGCCTTCCAAACTCAACTTACACCTACAAGGCATTATCTCTGGAAGGCGTTGATGTTAAAGTCATGCCCAAGGAGATCAAGTTTAGAGAGCTGAAAGAAAAAGCGAGTTTTTCAGTGAAATTTACCAGATTCGGAAATGCAATGGGAAGTAGTAGTGTTAGTGAAGGTCACTTGGTATGGTCGTCAAATGAAGGTGAATACAATGTTGTAAGCGCTATTGTTGTTGTCTTTGTGTGACTGACTATATTGAATCCCAGTCGTTTGAACTTTGAACTCCTCCTAATAGCATGTGAGGTACAGAACTTCATGTTGTCTCAAAATGTGGTTGTTTATTGTCATCGTCAAAATCTCCAGCCCAAGTTGGGATTGGGTACAAACACTTATAGTATGTGATTCCTAATTGAATGTCGATGATCACAGGGCGTTTAAGTGAAGGCAATACACTCTAATGACTAATAATCTAATATCATCACTTTACCACAAGAGTGCATGTGAGTGCCTAGCAAGCCTAGTGAATTTAAAGCATGGTCAAGGAAATCGTACCGGAGATCGTCTATAGTGGAGTATTTTGTGCTACGACTGTGGTTCAACCGTTTCATACTGGTACAATACCTTTTTTAATAAAAAATAAATATTTTCATCAAAATATCGTGCCGAAAAAAATAGGTTACCGTACCGAAATAATACCGGAACTATACCGGAATAATACCAGACAACAAATAATAAAATCATAAATAACCATTGCATAAAAAGCAAACGAGCCATGAATTGGACAAATTATCATACAGTCTACAAAACACTATAAGGCAATGTCAAAAACCAGCTTCTGCCACGTCACCCTTTACTCAAACGACCGCACACTTCGGAGGGACAATTCAGACTCCCTTTTTTCCCCGGTAATTCAAAATCTCTTTCTTCTTCGCTGTGTATGTTTCAAATCTTCAACCGAAAAGTGAAAACCCTCCCTCGCCGTTCCTTCTCATTCGCAGCCCACAATCTCAAATCAAAATTCCCAACCTTCAACCGGAATTGGAAGAACTTGTTCTTGCCGACTCAACCCAACCGCAATCTGAGATTAAAATCCTCTGCCGTCCTTTCTGGCACACTCGATCTCAAAGAGAAACTCCTCCCGGCGGCCTCTCTACTCATCGAACCTCATCACAGGCTCCACCTTTTTTGCCGCCCTCTCTCTACCGTCGTTGCGTTTGTTGTATGTGCTCTGTCCCTGACTCGCTGTTGCTGTATCTCCCAGACCAACCCTGTAATTCCCCTTCGAAGCCCCTTGCCGCCAAGCAATGAATCATTCTCCCTCTCGCTCTTTGCCTCATAAAACCAATCCCTGGAGTACCCTCTCAAACTGCCATCGAGCAAACAATGATTCTCCCACTTGCTTTTTGTGTCCATCGCAGATGAAGAATTCTTGGTCTCTGCTCGCAGTTGCCGCACAAGTGGTGAAGTGAAGTTTATCAGCACTCAAAGCTACAGTGGGAGATTTATCATGAGTTGAGGATTCTTATCAGGCTATTCCCAACGTCCTTCTAACAATTGGGATTCAAAACTTTAAAATCTTACGGTAGGTGAATGTTTGAGCTCTATATGTAAATTTTAATCTTTCATTTTTCTGTAATATTTCGTTTTTCCCGTGGTTTGTAGGGATAAGGAGGTGGTATCCCGGGCATTTAAGAAGAGAACGACCAATGGCGGGCATCAATAAGAGCATCCAAGCTGGGTGGGACTCACCCTACTTCCACCACGAATCCACCTCACCAAGTTATTCCCAATTTCATCCAAACTTCTAGAGATGAATAGATAGTCATTCCTAAGCTTAGGAGTTAGGTCAGTCGAGCACTTTGTCGCTGAGAGTAGTTGCTGATTAGGCAGATGATGCAATATAATGTTAATAGCTATTGTGGAGTCGTTGTTACCGGGTTAGGAGTCACCTGACTCAAATTTTATGCCTCCGAGAGTAGTGGTGGATTCAGCAGATGACGTGATATGTAATAAACGGTAGAATATGGTCGGAGAACTCCTCTGCAATCACTAAATTTGGGGGCTGGCATCCAGTCATGTATTCTCAATCTGATAGACAAGTTCTCATGGGTGCCTTTTCTCTAAATGGCTTTTGCAAGTTGAAGCTTCTCGGAGCTATATTGTCATTGTGCTTCTTTGAGTAATGTCGTGCAATGATGCGATGTGCTAAGTTTGCCCTTAATTTGATGTTTAGTAAACCATAATTATTTTTCTTTTAAATTGGATGTTCTCTTTTTGTTGCGAGTTTTCTCTTTTAAACTCTTTCCTGAATGTTTTTTCTTTTTTTGTGTTACTTCGGGGCCTCAAGAATTTGCAGCTCTATGGAGTTTTTTTTGGCCATGACCTGTTAGTATTATTGTTGATAATTTATGTTGGTGTTTGAAGGTTCAAGCCACCAATCTTCTCTATGGAAACTTCAAAAGGACAATTAAACTATGACTGTAGAGTTTTTTACTACACAATTTATTTGATTTCCCGTTTCATTTGCAATTTTCTATTCACCTTTGTTGCATTTTCTTTCCCAAGTTGTTTCTTTTGTTCCCTGTTTCACCAAGTTTTGATAGGCTCTCAAATTAGCTTTTTATGGTTCATGTGGTTGTATCCCCTGCTTTTATGTTAACGTTGAGAATATAATTCAATTTGTTCTCCGGTTGATGACTGCTCTCCAATTTTTTCTTTCTGTTCACCCATTGGCCTTCATTCAATTGTTGTTTGTATTGATTTTAGTTTAATGTTTGGGTGGATTGTCGTTCGCTAAGTAGTTAAGGGACAGTTTTATTGTAACATTTTGCTTTTGGAGTTTTAGGTGAACATAGAAATGTCAATCTGCGGCTTTTACCTCTGCATGATATTCTCTTTGATTACTCTGCTATGGTAATTTAAAATATTTCTTATTGCCATTTAGATGCTTACTTCATTTTGTAATTGGTTCTGTAACTTTTTGCAGTTTGTGATTATTATTAACCAGATGAAGCTCCCACTCTTCATTAAGACAATCATAGTGGGTAAGAAGAAGCGTGAGTTGTAATTATTGCTAACAATTAGAGTCTAGGATTATGAAATATCCATGTAAAAATACTATGAACGACCATTTTTTGTATAGAGATCCACGCCACAATAACTATGGAGTTGAATCGTATTTATGTTGCTGCTGCTCTTCAGAATTGTTGATTTCCTCTTATGCTGTGATTTTTATTTTGTCTTAAGTGGATGTCTTATGGTTATGTTATAATGTAAATAAATCATCTCTCATTTTCCCACTCCTCTTCCTTTTTGTCCAGGTTTCCTGTAATTTATTTTTCTTAAACGACATTGTGTTTAGTAATGTGTTTTGAGTGTTTTGCTTATCATTTTCCCATTACAATGTGAGATTTAGGTTATAACATGCATTTTTGTTGTTGTCAAAGTCCAATCCTTGGAAATTATGAGAGCGAAATCTGATTTTTGTTTCATATAGTTTATTGGTCTCTTATAAAACTGTACCGGCAACGGGTCGGGGCCAATGCTAGTCTCTAACCAATTAAAAGTAGCCGTGTCTTAGTTGGTTGCGAATATTGACCAGGTTTGGGGTTTCGAATTTTAGTATGAACCCAATTTTATTTTTTCATTTTTCAGATGCTCAATAAAGGGTCATTATAGTATTTTTACAAAATCACGGTAGCAAGGGGTAATTATGATGGAAACAAGTGGGTCATTTGGTTATTTTTGGAATACAATATAAGAATAATGTGAGATGGAGAGAAATGAACTCTAGCCTCCTCTTCACCTCGTTCTCTCCTTCCTCTCTCATTCAGCAAGAAAAAAATACCAAGAAATCCCAGACCAAATCCCAACCTTCCATCTTCTACCCCAATATTTTTTTTTTTTTTTTTTTTGCATGTCTAAAGAAAATGACGGAGAAAGAACAAAACCTTTTCTCCTTCTCCTTCTCCTTCCTTGCTTGATTTACTCCTCCATGTTCTGCCTCTTCTCTAGATTTATTCCTCCAACTGTCTTACACAGTCGATGAGAAATAGAACCAGGGCCACCAAATCGACCACAAAAAGCGTCGATCTAGGTTCATCTCCTCTTTCTTCGTTGCTTCATCTCCTTCCTCCCTGTTCTTCTATCGATTTACTCGTCCCTCTGTCTCCAAGAAATCGAATCAGACCCCTGTGGGCAAAGGACCATATCGCGTCTTTTGAGAACTAGTTATATTTTTTTTCAGTATGCTTCACTGACCGGTCATACCAAAACCGTCCGATATTTCGCGATTTGATGGTTTGACAGCAAAAACCGGACGGTGTGGTATTTTAGGGACTGTGACTCTACTATTTCGGCCAGACTCCGGTTTTCGGTATATCCGGTCCGACTGACCGACATGTCTCGGTTTCCTTGACCATGATTTAAAGGTCATTGAGTTTCAAATTAGCTCATTTTTTCAGTTTCATCCTTTGATCATAAAAGTATCATTGAAAGAAAGAATATGAACAACAGCTGTTTCATGCAACTTAAAATAGATCCATGATCCTAAATTGTAAGAAAATTATCTTTCTATGAGATGGGAAAATTCATCCCTCATTTGCAGACATAGAATATTCATTTATCACATTTCAGAAGAAACTTGTGGGAGCTCTGCAATAAAAGTCTAGACCGTTTGATAACAGTTTTTTATTTATGAATTAGACCGTTTAATAACAGTTGGCTGGCCACTGATTAAGTTCACTGAAAATAAAGTACATTTGATTTCTTAAAAGTATAAAATTGATGTATTGTTATGTATTGATAATTTTGATATATATAAGGTGTGATCATATACTAATCAGTTACGAGCTTTTCATACAAGGCCAAAATGGAGCCACCACTTAGATAAGAACTTTACTAGACACATTTACAACATCGAACAACAAACTCCAAAATAACTTCACACATCTATCCGACAATGTATCGCGAAATAGAGAGCGGATCTGGTGACTAAGGGGGGGTGCTTAGTCACTTGGCTAAGCCCCCCTCAGCCATTGGATCCTTATTAATTGATCTAATGGTGGAAATAAGGGAAGGGATGATTAAATAATGAGAGGGGCAATTTTGGGATTATGAAAATTTTATTTAATTTTTTTTTCTCCAGCCAGTCTTCTTCTGCGTATGATGGAAGAACGCCGCCCATGAGAGAGAGAAGGGGAGAACGCCGGCGATGATGGAAGATCGACGGTGCCGGCGACGACGAC